AAAAAAAAAAAAAAGGCCCCAGTCTCTTTGGGGGCCTGAGATCGAATCCCAGTGCTGCCCATCTGTAGAGATAAACCTAATCATGTATTTGTTATACTATTTACATAGTAAAGTCATTTTAAAGAGTAAAGAAATTTTAAACACACACACAAAAAATTTCAAAATAGTAACAGCAAAGCATTAAATGAATTACGAAGCCCTTCTAAGTGTAGCTTCATGAATAATACCCAGAAAGCCAGCTCTGCGGAAGAAGGAGTCTATTCCTAAAGTAAGCACCATGTTCCAGTCATTTCCACATCCTCAGAGTATTCGATGTATGACTGAAGAAAAAATAACTGTGGCACAGAACTTTCCCATGGGTGGTGAGAACTACCAAATGGTACAAAGACAGTCTCTCATAGTTTTCATAAACCATAAAATACATATACAATTTTATACTTTGTATATAATTTTTTTTACTTTTTTTATTAAATCATAAACACGTAGATCATGTATACATCAATGCATTTATGGGGTACAATGTGCTGATTTCATATAGGATTAGGAACGCTTACATCACACTGCTTAATATATAAAATTTTATAGTTATCTTAATTAAAATACAGGGTGGACATAAAGTTCATGTGCAATTTAAAATAGTTTAACACAGTAAATTGCATACCAAACTTATGGACACCCTGTATATATCATTTTATAAATATATAATGAAAAGCCCCTCTTAAATTTCTAGCATAAAATTAAATATATTACATTAAATAAATATAATGTAATCCCACTGATTAAAAAAACGCATAATTTTTTTTTTTGAGATAGGGTCTCACTCTTGCCCAGGCTAGCACACTATGGTGTCAACTTAACTCACAAACAAGCTCAAACTCCTGGGTTCAAGATGCTTCCTGCCTCAGCCTCCCAAGTAACTAGAACTATAGGCACCAGCCACAACACCTGGCTGTTTTTTCTGTTTTTAGTAGAGACGGGTCTTTCTCTTGCTCAGGCTGGTCTCGACCTCCTGAGCTCAAGGGATTCTCCAGCCTCCGCTTCCTAGAATGCTAGGATTACAGGTGTGAGCTATTGCACTGGGCCAAACTTTGGAAAACATTAATAACAGGTTGTGGTTTCACAGTCCATTTTAGCCTTCTTTCTACTTGTCTAGCTTTTTCACAACTGGAAATAAGGGGGGAAAAAAACGCCATACTGACATCATGGCACATGCATAGGTTCCCCCAGCTGCGTGGGAGGCTGAGGCAAGAGGACCACAGATTCAAGCCCAGCCAGATCCCATCTCAAAAGGGAAAAAGATATTTAGCCAACAACTTCAGCCTCCCAACCAACTCTGCCTGCGGAAGCAATGGGGCAACTTAGGGATCATTAGCCAACCTGGAAACAAGAAGGAGACGTGGTACCTACTTGAGCTCAGACTGTCCACATGGCTTCTTCCTGGAGAGGCTGAGCAGATCTTTGCCATATTTCTCCTCAATCGCTGCCCTAGGGGAACAGAAGAGAGGATTATGGGCCCTCCTCAGAGCTGACTTTTGGATTAGACACAGTGCACAACCCTGGGGAGGAATCACGCACCTTTGACAGTAGAAGCTCAGGTGGAACACCATTCTCTAAAATGCAAAACTTCCTCTATATAGTGGGGAAGAACCGTAAAAACACCAGTGGCCCTCGTCATTGAGGGGATCTTCTCTGACTAGAAGTCCCTAACATGGATATTAATGAACATTACAGTAAAACTGAGCATTTTGGAAGTGGAGGCAGAGATATCTCCATCAAATGCTGCACTGCAAGGCCCAACCCTCCTCCATCTTTTCTAAGAGTGCCCTTAACATCCTGCAGAGCTCTCCATTCAGTCCCTTCAGATCCACTCAACTGTACTCGAGAAAGGGGAATTTCAGAAGAGAAATGGCAGGTTTGGGAGTTATTTTTCTGGTCCTTTTCCTCTGCATTTGCATGCCTGCATCTCACATAACACACATCCCCATAACACTCTACGTTTATGTAATTGAGATCAGTCTGTTATTTGCTGTTACGTTTTTCACCTCATAATACACCATATGGAAACTTCTTTATCAGTATATACAAATCCACAATGCTTATAACAAAGAGCTTTCCACAGGACGGGGGCTCCTGATTTGTGTACGGTTTTCATTGCCATGGGGGTGAGGGGAGGTAAATGAACAGCCTAGATCCTTGGACCTATATCCATGGGCATCTCTGAGAGGGTTTTTCCAAGAGATCTGATAAAGTGGATTTACTAGATCAAAGAAATATGCATGTTAAATTTTGAAAAGTAGTGTCAAATTGCCCTCCAAAAAGTTCTTCTTGATTTATAATTCCACAAAAAGTGTAGGAGAGCTCTCATTCCTAGAAACCCTCACTCACATTAAATATCAATGATCTTTTTTCTTTGTTACCAGTCTGAGGAGGAAGGTTGGAAAAAATAGATTTCTCATTTTAATTTGCATTTCTCTGATTTCTAGTGTGCTTGTGTATTAATTTAAATATTTCTTAGTCATTTACATTTCTCTAAGTTATCATCCAACTGTTTGGATGATAAGCTTCTTGTCATCTTTCTATTATTTTGTATAAGTTCTTTGCACACTATGCATATAATACTTATTCTTACGTATGCTGCAAAATTTGTTCCATTCTGCCATTTGTCTTTTCTAAATAATGACTTTATCTATTTTATTAAAATGATACATGCTCATTGTGCAAAAAGAAAAGTAAAAAGAAGAAAACAACAAACCATCCAAAATTCCACCAACCAAAAACAATTAGTATCAACATTTGGCAATGGTAGTAATCGGCATTTCCCTACGCAGGAAAGCAGATAGGATGCATGAACAGAAAAATACAACACATAATTTTAAAAGAATGACACCATACTTAACATGCTTTTAAAAAATAGAGACTTAAACTTGATTTGATTTGAATTTCACAGACGAAAAAGAAACTGAAGTGAAGCAATTGCTGAATTTTTGTTTAATTTCAGAATGATTGGGGGTATAGATGTTTTGTTTACATATTTTGTTTTCCTACAGATGGAATCAAAATTATACTAGGAAGTTTTCCCTTCATCCAGATAGGGTGTACCATACCCAATAGGTAGGAATTTATCCATCCCTTCTTCCCCTTCCCCTCAGCTTGACTTTCATGGAGATTTACTTCCATATGTGCACTTAAGTGTAGATCAGTTAACTCCACCTTGGTACTGAGTGCCTGTGTTCATTTCTCCATTCTTGCGAGGTTTCACTTAGAAGAACGGTTTCCAGTTTCTCCAGGTTGTCTAAAAAGGTACTAGTTTGCCATTTGTTTTAGGGCTGAGCAGTATTCCATAGTATGCATATACCACATTTTATTAATCCATTCATATATTGGTGGGCACTTGGGGGGTTGTTTCCATGTCTTTGTAATTGTCAATTGTGCTGCTATAAACAGTCAAGTGCAGTAAATCTTAAATAATTGTGGTTTTGCCACAGGAAATATAAATTCCTAAAAGATCCTTAAGGTTAAAAACATTTTCATAAAAAAAGTTTATGAAAATAATTAAGAGGATCAAGAGATTAAAATACCTTAACCATTTGTTTCTCTTTTAGACAGCTTTAGCTGTTTGACAGTGTGCTCTGCATGGTATGATTCGTACTATTGTACCTCCACCTCCTGTTTATGTTATTTTTACTTCATTTGTGTATGACATAGTCTATTTTTTTTTTTTTTTT